ATCTTGCTTTCACAAGTGCATCCACTCTACAGTGCCTGTCTCTTATACACATCTAGATGTGTATAAGAGACAGGTGTGTGTGTGTGTGTGTGTGTGTGTGTGTGTGTGTGTGTGGACAGTTGGGAGTGAAATTGAGGCCAATGCCCTTGAGCTATCTGCCCTACCCTCAGGCGGGGCAGATGGCTCAATGGAAGCCACCATTTCCCCACCAAAGCAAGCCGTCAAAAGAAAAATGACGGAAAATGGATTTCATTCCGCAAAAAACGAATTTTAAATTATAAAACACCAAATCTAAGAAATCTTACAGATTTGTGCTGTGCATTTTCCTATATTTCCCTGCCTCTCGCTTTCCCAACAGATCTAAGGCAGGGCTATGTCCCACATGCCACACGTGGTTGAAAAAATCAACGTTGCGCTACCGTCCTCACCCGAATCGAACGCCCGGTCATTATCGCTGCATCTGGACCGAAAATTGTGCCAAATACAGCTATAATGACCGGGCATTCTATTCGGCTGAAGACGCTAGCTCAATGTCATCAGTGGGACCTAGCGGTTAGGACTCTGTAGATCATCTGGATAACCAAATGGCCGAGTACAGGGGGCAACTGTCCGGTGTCCAGCCACCTAAACCTCTACAACAACCTGGGCTTTCATTGATTTATTTTTTTTTTGGGGGGGGGGGGGGGGGGGGGGGGGGGGAGCACCACTTGAATGATGAATCTTAATAACAACAACCGAAAAAAAAGAAGTGTCTGTCAAGCATCTACTATTATGTAGTATATATCAGATGTAAGGAACAGAGGCGGCATTCTATTCCACAGAACAGAACCACGAGAAGTGCAGAGAAACAACAAAAGAAAAAGCAAATTTAAAGGGAAAACAAGAGAAGAACATATCATAACTGCTGAGTTTAGTCTTTCTTTTCGTTTTCGGAGAGTTAAAATAACAGTTGAGTTTGGCCTCACCCTCATTAGGATTTGATTCAAGAAAACCCGGCTTATCTCAATGGCTCTGGAACTAAGTGTCTCCTTCAGGCGGGCCGTTCCTACCAGGTAAACACTGCACCGCACCCAATCGGCCGCAGTGTTATGAATCTCGTCCACCGTTTGCAAGAATTGTTTTACCTGTGTTTCCAGTCATCAAGAAAACAGATTAATTGTCACAAGGTGGCAAGCTCCCTTGTCAGTACAAGGAAAGTTAGGAAACAGATGTGTGTGTTAAACCACCCAGCCAATGCGGCTGAATGGTATACTACTACACACACATCTAACTGTAACTGCTGGCAAACAGAACATGAGTAGAATCCTGAGAGAACCAGATGAATATGCAATCATGTGAGGGCCAACTTCCTTAGAAAAAAAAGGGAAAAAAAACAAAACGGCCAAATAAACAAACAAAAGAACAGATGGTGTAAGACTGACTACTTCAGTAAAAATGAAAAATCATTGCAAGGAACCAACTCAAATTCAAGCGCACAGCCCCGAACGCATCACGCTGAAAGCACACAGAACATTCACGTAAACATCGAGGTAGAAGGCTCTTCGAAACAATTGATATTATACAGGACTCAAGTTCAGAATACAAGAGGTTATGGCCACTATCGCCATCAGCATCCCACAGGTAACTCTTACTCAGCTCTCTCTCTCTCTCTCTCTCTCTCTCTCTCTCTCTCTCTCTCTCTCTCTCTCTCTCTCTCTCTCTCTCTCTCTCTCTNCCCCCCCCCCTCGCCCAACACCCCCGCACCACCCATGTGGACTGCCTGGCAAAGCCATCGACACCCACTCAAGATAAGGTTCCCACACAACTGTGGCTGAACACGAATGTGCTCCCCCTCTTGCTGACCTTCACACGGCCGGTCATGTACGGTCTGTCGTGCAGGGGCGGCAGGGCGATCATGCGGTAAGTGGTGTCCATGTGTATCAGTGTCCATGTGTATCAATCCGTCGCCTTCTAACTCGAAAGCGACAGATGACACACAAACGTCGATCAAATCCCAGATGGGGTCTACTTCAATCATCCCCTCGTTGGGTAGAATCGAAGATGTTTTTTCGACAACGATTGCTACCTCCCGCAGCATCTCACTCGCCAGACCCGGAAAGACGTACAAACGAGCCGCCCTAATCCCCTCGTGGACGACGTCCACGTGTCTGATCTCACATGTCCTGACTTCGACAATCATAACAACGCATGGGAGATAAGGCGGACAGATGTCAAACTTATGAAAATGTTCCCAACCCATGAAAGTGTGGCCCATCACTTCCCCTTGAAGACCGGGACGGAGAGTGTCATCGTGTCACTGGCGAACTTCGGGTAAATGGCATGCGGGACAGCCATTGAATGTGCAGTTCTGGTGTTGGGGCAAGATGCTCGTGTGTGTATATGATTGTTTGTGTGTGTGTGGGGAGGGGGGGGGGGGCGACGTTCCGGCAACGGCGCAGACAATGGCGATAAACGTTCGACACATGCATTTTCGTTCTCTTCTCACGCTTTCAAAATCACACATTTATCCCAAAACACTACGCCACCAAAATACTCCTGGGGCCAGGTCCCGCTAGCAGTGTTGAGTTTCTTCGACGCTTGAATCTGGTCGTGGTTGTGGAGATGGGCAGAAATGGCGTTGAGTTTCCTCAACCTCACATCTCCACCAGCACGTCCAGATTCAGGCGTTGAAGGAACTCAACGCTGCTAATGGGACTTGGCCACTGCATGGAGAATAAAAAACAAACCGAACTGCCAACAACCCACACTGGCCGTGTCCCTTTTTTTTTTTTCTGTTTTGTTCTGTTTAAGGTACCTTTTGTTTAAAAGAACAAAAGCAACTGCCCCGCCTTCTTGCACTCTCATAAATTCCAGCGGCACTCCGAACATCCAAATTGAGCAACATGCAGGCACAGAACATTCCACAAACACATGGCATCTGCGAAGGTGCACAGTTGTGGAGCTGTCTCTTATACACATCTAGATGTGTATAAGAGACAGCTATAAGGCACTGCATAGCCTTCTAGCGGTGATGCATTTGTCCACACAAGCACACAGACACCCGAAAGGCGAATAAAAATTTTCGGGAGACTCACAGATGTACCAGCTGGTCCCGGGCCTTATTTAGCCCGATTCGGGCAAAACCATCCGCTACTATTTTCTTCTTTTGTCTGGCCAGGACGGGGTGGTTTCGATTTTGTTTTGATGTTCTAGTTTGGCCTTTCAATTTTAATGTTTTAATCTGACTCTTGGCTTCATAGGATAGTTCCGGAGATCCCCGGAGGACTCTGATTCACTATGAATGCGACACCTCGGGTTAGGGCCTCGCCACAGCACTGTCAAAAATGAGATTTTCTATAGTTTCTCTTCGCCACACAGGCTGTCGAAGTCGGAGACGGGAAGAAAATTCGCCAGTTGTCAGAGAATGCTTCTCGACACCTCCTGTCGAAAGTTGTTGAATCCCCAGCCTTCTACTCCGATGCTTTCGACAGTCCTCGGCTGCGCCATCGGCTTCTCTTCGAAATTTGGTGAGTGGGGGTAAGGTCGGGATGGACTAATGCTTGTTGTACCCTCAGGTGTGTTCGTCTTTTTCCATCTTGCTTTCACAAGTGCATCCACTCTACAGTGCTGTGTGGCTAAAGGGGGGCAAACTGTCGAATGGAGGCTGTCGAATTTGTTCTGACAGCTGTCGATTTTTTTTGCCTTTCGACAGTGGTGTGGCGAGGCCCTTAATCTGATTCTAGCCTTCGTAGAATAGTTCCAGAGATTCCCGGAGGACTCTGATTCACGATGAATGTGGCGCCTTGCCATACAAGTTTGTCTTTTCGAAAGTTATATGCGCCCGCCGGTTAGCTAGCCAACTGTCCGATGGGTGTGAATTAGCGTCAGAACCAGGCCATATATACAGGGCCACCGGTGGGGATAGGGACCACACTACACCCGTGGATGACTTTTCAGGTTACTGGACCGGGTAGATTGTGGCGCTATAGCGAACAGGCAAGGTGAAGAGTTGGACCATTGTGAGGTTGCAGTCTTGGTGGACCGATTGCTATTTTTTCATACCTTGGGAGGAGGACGAAGGGCTTGACAGGTGGATTTCGGGGACGACTGGGTTCGGGGAATTCAGAAACTATTTATTATTAACACGGGAAGCAGGGCTATCGCTTCCCTTTTGAGCATGAAGACTCGCTAGAGTTCACCCTCCTGAGGATGCCCCCATTGTGCTTCTCCCCTCTCCCTTTCGACCCAGCCCAAGCCCTAAAGTATCATATGTTGCCGAACCCATGCAAACGCAATTTTTTCTCACCCAGACTGGTTAAAATTTTTTCACTCATCTGCAGCCCAACCAGCATCTGCAATAAAATCCTTATCCCTAGCCAGCCACATCGGGCCGCACACAAGCCCAATTTTCATCCACCCTTTCCCAGCCGTGCCCGATTTCCACCACCCAGCATGCCCCTCTTTTTTCCGTTGATTTAAAAAAAAGGCCTTGTACGTTACTCATTGGGAGCTTCACGCATCTGCCGGTGCTGCTTGCGCCATTGATGTCCGACTGGTCTGATGGTGGCTTCAGATTTGCGTCATGATGTATTTTATGACTCTTGTTTGAATCACTTGGGCTTCCGAGAGACATTATCGCGCTTGCTCAGCCTTGCTGTCCTTGTTTTTTTTTTTTTTGGTAAGACTCTGCAGAGTCTAATAGGGTGGGTGATACGAGCAGCCCCTCCTACTAGATCTGCCTTGGTCACTCCATCTATTGGTGGGGAGTTACACCTGCTGGAAACCGGGTGCAGCGTCCCTCAATTACTCCGTCTATTGGGAGACGCTATTGAAAGGTGCCGATGGGATGGTGCTGGTAGGAGAAGAAGGAATAATAGATATGCTTATCGTTAGTAGTTCCTTCTCCCGTGATAGTATGCCCCTCTACCCTCCAATATCTTGTCCAGTTCGTGCTAAGTGAGGGCCTCGTTAGACGCTCCTTGTTATTTCCTCAATGTACAAGGAAATTTCCTGGTAGCTCTCAAGTAAATTTTGCGGCCTCGTTCCACCAAGGACGTTTCCTTGTGGCCTGCCCACGGTCGAATTCATTCGATTTTACACAGCCGCGGGGGGGAAGTGTCCATGGTCCATGAGATATGTCCGTGTGGAGAGCCACTGCATCTCGACCAGATTGTGGCGTATGCGCTGTACAGGTGGGCATCAAGGGAGACGTACGAGAGCAGCACCTGCAGCTTTGGCATCGGCAGAGCTTCAGGCCTCGTTGTTGTGCGTGATGTCACCCCCGCGCTGTTGAGGGTGTACGGTGACAAGATCGCGTGGCCGTCGAGGGTGCGGAAGCTTGTAGTCCTCTGCGCATTCGGTGATAAGGGATTCCCCAACTGCCACTGATGCATCGACTGCACACTCACATCTACATCGACAAGCCAACGAATGCCCCCAGCGAAAACGACTACGGCAGGAAGAGGTGGTTCTTCATCCTCTCACAGGTGGTCGTCGACTTGGACTTGCATGTGCTGGATGTGCATTTCGGTTACCCAGGAAGCTGCCACGACATCAGGGTGCTTCAACTCTCCAATTTATGGGCGCGCGCGGAGGAATGGTCCTTGTTCCGCGGTCCTCCTGTGATTCTCCCGCATGGGGTGCGGACAAACGGCTACCTGCTGGGCGACAATGGGTATCCCCCGTCCGAATGGATAGTCGTTCCGTACGGGGGAATCGATCAATCTTGTTTCATGCGTTCCGCCAAAGCATCCCGGAGGGCTAACGCCTCATCTGTCGAAGTTCCCATACACACTGGCTGAAGAGGACGTTGAATGATGAGGTCCACACGTTGCAGCACTTCATTCACATCCACTTCCCACAACAAATTTTCATTGAAGGGAATGTGAGCGTCGATGAGGATGTTGTGGAGTATACAGACGGCGACGAACTGCTGCGGGACCGTCTCCAAGTTCGTTTTGTGTGTCAGTAAAAACAGCCTCCACATACTCTTGAGTATGCCGAACCCCCTCTCCACAGCTCCTCACGCCACCTTTTGCTTGTTGTCGGACCGCTTGCCCATCATCGCCGCCTCCGTCTGCGACTCTGCGTCGACATCTGTGTTTTTTACGCAAAGCAGCTGCGTGGCAACAACAAGTTACGAAACGACGATGGACATGACCTGGGTCGTCATGGCCAGCATTGCTGCTTTTATTTTATTTTCGTTTTTTGTGCTGCCAGCCACGTGTGACGTGTCGAAAGTCATCTCACCGTCACTTTGCCACATGCCAACGCTGCTGGAGAGTGGTGCTCGGGTGGGCCAGTTGATGAAGGCAGCGCTGTAAGCCCACTGTTAGATGGTTCGTCCTCTAGTGTGGTGGGAGGGAGACGTGGCCACGTGGGGGGGGGGGGGGGAAAATCCTCAACGTGGGTAGCGCCATGTGTCCTCATGGCGCCGACCGCGGGGGCGGGCGGTCGCGATGTCCTCGGTTCTATTGTGTGACATGCTTTGGGGCATGTGGTTGTCATTAATCATGCGATGTCCAGCTTAAGGACTTCGCCGTCTTCATCTCGTGCAGACGTGTTTTTTTCTCATTGGATGATTTCGTTTTACAGTCGCATGTTCGTGTCTTTGCCGTGATTTCTGTTTGCGGTTGTTGTTCGGGTTGTGTGTGTTCATGCGTGACTCAAATTTGTCAGTGCAATTTGAACGTGTGTTTACGGAATGCTTAAAGGTAGAGTGGTGCGACAATAATCATCCTTCTTTGTGGTGGTTTTGTTTTCATTGTGTTACCTTTTTGTAAGACCAAAAAAGTAGTGTATCCGTCGTCTTGAACACATACAAGCTTTCCTTTTGTGGATGTGCTTATTTCATGGGTTTACTATGGCACACATTAGCCAAAGTCAAAGCTGTGACATGCCTTCACGTCCAACACACACACACAAAGCATGCAAACAAAAATGTCCACATAATGGCATGGCTTGCCTTCATGCAGAGGTGAACCAAAAAAACACCCACATTCATAAAGCCCGACGAATAAAGACGTTGCAACGTCGGGATGCAGAACACGACGTCCAAACAACAATGACAAATGCGTCATCAACATGTTGTGAGCGAAGTCATTGTCATTTGTGGGGCCGAGGAGTTCAAAACAGAAACAAAAAAGAAAAGAAAGCAGGGAACGCATTCCTCCTGACCCCCCACCCTGCAGACGTCTTATGAGCCACACTACCAACAAAGGCAAACACACATAACCCAACCCCAAACATGCCCCCCACACCCCCCTCTCCCCCCTATTCTCCCCCCTCCCCCTTCCTCCGCCATAACCAAGACCGATCTACTCATCGCCCTGCTTAGCCTCGTCGTCATCACCCTCCGGGGGGGCCGTCCCCAACCACTCTCGCCGCCTCGCGTTGGCTGGCCCTGATATACTTGCGTCGTGGTTGAAGACTACTCCGCAAGGTGCCCAGTTGGGGATGTACTTTAGGAAGTCTTCCAGCATGATGTTAGCCTTCCCCGACTTCTCTGTGACGGTGTTGGCGTCTTGGAGTATGCGTCCTCTATGGTTGAACACCCGATGCATGGACGCGTCGAGCGTGGGTTTGGCTGTGAGGTTTACGAAATAGAATGCCTCGTATTGCGACCGCAAATCATCGCCCGCCATGCGCATCCGCCACATCATCACAACCAGCAACAACCTGAAACTGTCTGCAAGCCGCGCAAGACGCTTGTGCGATATCCTCCCGTTGTTGATGGATTGCCCCGTCTGCACCGCGGCAGTGAATGCCCCCATGAGACGCACAATATTGGACTCTTGGTAGGCCGCCATGTCGTCATCCTTCGGCCTGTCCTCCACGTTTGCTCCCTCGAACCACACTTACAAATCCATGTCCTGGTCGAGCGTGTGCGCGTATAACGCGGGGCTAACGACGTTGCACCACTCCTCGCCATACCACATCACGCGGGCTATGTCGGTCACCACAGACTCCAGCGTGTACTGGAAGGCAACAATGTATCCTCTAGAGCGGTTGGCAGACTTGAAGACCCGACCGTGGATGACGCGCAAAGCGACATTCTGTAGTTTGGTGGCGGGGCTCAGTGCTTGCTGCAGCTACACGGGATCTATGATCCTAATCGTCGATATGCTTGTTTTTGGCATGACGGCGCTGTGGGGCAGCGCTGACGCAGCAAGGCCACTGGCGATGGCGACGAAGTATTCGCTCGTCTCGTCGATGAAGTTGTACAATCGCCGACCCTCCCCTGTCGTCCAGAAAGACTTGTTGTTGACCCACAGTTTTGCCCGTTCAAATAGTTCCTTCAGCACACCTCCCCTTCAAAGCCTATTGACAAGGGGCTCGTTGTCCTCCCGTTCATTCCTGTTCCTTGCATGTCCAGCATCCCTCTGCCCATCACCGTCTTCTCTAACCCCTCCACCCCCACCACCCCCGTGCGATGTTCCTGTCCCACCCGTGGCAATGACCTCGCCTCTGCGTAAAGTCGCAGCCCCAGCTGCGGCGACGATCTCGGCCCTGCACCACGTTGCAGCCCCACTCGCGGCGACGACCTCGGCCCCGCCTGCATGCACGGGAGGGTGAACATCACCACCCTCCGATGCATATCGCTGCCGCTGGATCGTCGGTGTCGCGGGCTGACGTGATGGGGTCGGCGCTTCGATAGTAGCGGCGCGTGTCGTCGATCCACTCGCACGACCCCCTTGGACACGACCGCTGGTGGGAATGTTCCCCATCTGCGCTTCATCAGTGATGTGAATGTCGATCATTGCCTCCTCCCGTCCACGTGTCTATTCGACCCGTAGTCAGCACAGGTGGCACTGCAGGATCTCTTTGTCTCCTAGTCCCTTCGTGACGCTGCTGCTGACGACGCAGGTTTGGAAAGTCACCCACGCTTCGTCCGCCACTTCGTCCTCCTCCGTCATGAAGTCGTCATCGTCCTCTACCTGCAATGGTCTTACCCGCCCATCCATCCCCACGGCTCCTCCGCTGTCGGAGGCTCCTTCTTGACGCCCCCTTTTCGCCTCGGGGATGTGGAGACGCCTGCGTTCCTGGCCTTCAGTGTCCTCCGGGATGGCGTCCCGCTTCCTCCCACGGGCACTGCCTCTAGTCGACATGTCGTTCTCTGGAGGCTGCACAACACGTTGGCTGTGCTGTGCTGAAGATGGAAGTGCAATAGCAAATGGAAAACCACCAGGAATTCTGAACGTTGTCAACTGCGCAAAGGTGTACGTGCGTTGCGGACACGCGATCACCCGCGACGATAAATGATCCGCGCGCGCTCCAAACGAATTCACTGCGGGGGGAAAGCTGCACGTGGAGTTTCGTGGGTTGGAGAGTGGCAAGAAAGCTCCTCGAGCGCTGTCATTGACTGTGGTGGGGCGAGAATGGTCCACGTCCGCAAAACTCCCGAAGGCGGCGAGCAATGCTGACATTCGCAGACGACGCCCCTGCAAGGATCGGCGCTTGTTGACAACACCCTGCAGCCACGAAGATCTTTTGGCAGCAAACGTTGGAAAACAGTGATCGACGTCAATGTGGCCGATGGACTCTTTCGCGGCGATGACAACGAGGCAACAACGCTGTGGAGGTGAAGTGCGCATTGACGACCAGGAATGTTGCTTTATCTTCTCGCGAAGCAATCGCTGGACCCTCATGCACGGGTGAAATGGAAGGTGGACTCGCTAGCTGAAGGTCATTCCACATCCACGACTGCCTCTTGGCTTTCATTGACACGAAAATCCCCAGCATCCCTCCCGCCCCAGCCCACCCTGCCCCGCAGACGCGTAGACATCTCCACTTTCGCCTCCAAAAAATATGAATGACCCTCGGCACAAAAAGTGACCCCTCCTCCGCCCCGCCCCATGTA